GGAATTTCCGGCTAGGAAGGGCCAGAGGAGAAGCAACAACATGGAAGTCTCGAGCTGCCACGGAGTGTTTAGGCATTTCGGGTTAGGGGTGTAGGGTAGCATGAATAGTAGAGGCTTTCCAACAACATTCCCCCTATAGTTCCTATAATAAGCTACCCTGACAAGCCCGTGTGTTCGGCACATTGAGGCTTGGGTTTACATGTACCGCCTTCCCAATTCCGGTAGGAGCTGCTTCCACAATTCCGGTCATTTGAGCTGATTCCGACAAACGCCCTTTATCACTGTGTAATTACGAGAAAAGTTACCCAAATACCTAGCACCCGTAAAGGCCTGCAAAGATCTAGCAACCCCGAACCCTGAACGCTGAAACGGAAAGCTGATGTCCAATCAAGGTACCAGCTGCGAGGTATTGTGAAGCGAGCCGAAATTTATACCTTAGGGCTTGATGTGCTCAGGGTATATAGTGCAGTATAGGGCTTGTAGTATAGGGTTTAGTAGGGCTTAGGGTTTAGGATGGTTTAGGGTTCAGATCCAATCTGCTAGGCCTTGAAGGAGCCAAGGCTTCTGAGGTTTGGGTATTGGGGGCTTCGGATTTGATATGATTTGATCTGGTGAGTTTAGGGTTTAGGGTTTAGGGGTTTAGGGGTTTAGGGTTTAGGGTTTTAATCTTATGAACCCCGAACCTTTCCTGCAGCAATGACACGTCTACCTCTAGACTCTAATCAGCCCGTTTTGTACGAAATCCACCCGTGATATTCGTGTGCATCTCTTCTAGGTTCAGTCGCTCGACGACCGCAATTTAGACGAAGAGGTACCTTTAAATCCGTCACCAACACAAAGCTTGAAGTGGTGTATTTTACGAAGCTACGGCCACGTGGGAGTCTGAAAAACCAGAAGACCTTAATGGAGACCTCAAAGAGTATGTAGGATCCGCAAGCTGTAAGAGGAAAACCGTGAAAGAAAGAATACTATCGGGGCCTGAATAATTATAATAGGCTTTGGGGGCCCATTTTACTATATTTGTTTTAAGGAGCCCCCCCCTTCAAAAAAAAAGTCGTTGGTAATTATTCAGGCCCCTAAATTAGAGAACACCACCTACACCCCTGCTGTTTACGATTATGCACCACACCCAAGCCACGTACCAACAAAGCCCCCAACCCGAAGCGGCACATCCGGGATTAAGCAAACATAGGAGACCACACAACTGTCCAGCATCCACCCTGCTCCTGCTCCTTCAGGAGAAAAACGAGGCACACCTTCAAACTCCGTACTATCTATACATGCCAAGTACTTGTAAATACGTATTTATCCAGGTCTGAGGGAAGGATTTCTGCCTCCGTCTAACTCACATGTGACACCCGCCCGACAAGAGCATCCTCATGGACAATGAGCACCCCTAAACCCCGAAAGAAAAGCACCCTAAATCGTAAACAGGGACCCGAATAGTTTAATACTAGCTGCTGCTTCAAACTTTGAAGAATCACGCACAGTCAGATCAACCCCCCCATCAAAAGGTCAGAAACCCCCCATCTTGTGGCAAGTATCATTATGGCATATACTTATAGGGTATGTTGGGGGTCTAAGTATACACCATAATGATACTTGGACCCTTTGGGCAACTTGTGGCAAGTCTCACACCGCCCGGACGTCGAGCTCTGGCGATGCCAAGGCCAACAGCAGCGCAATGGAGTCGTCGATTCCTGCTCGAAGGCAAGGCTTCAGGCTCCTATACAGCAAACCCCGTAAAGTTGGAAACCGGATTAAGGCTAAATAGTGCTGGGATTCCCTATATATTACTCTTGAGGATTTAGGCTATTGGGTTTCCAACTTTTGGGCTTCTACTGTACTTGGTTGAACAGCACACCCCAGCCCAAAGGTAGCCGTTTTCCTGCAAGTCAGGTCTAAAGAAGGTGACTTCCAAACAACACCCATAGGATAGCTTTACACCCTGTACAAGACCCACTGTTCATCTTACCATTCTTCCTCTTGCTCGCCTTGTTATTGGTCATGCTGTTGCTGCCTGTGCTGCTACTGCTGCTGCTGCTGCTTGTGCCGTCGTTGTTGCTGCTGTTGTTCTTGTTATCGTCAGTGGTCTTGCTCTTGTTCTTGTCGTTCTTGCGGTTCTTCTTATTGTTATTGTTGTTGTTCTTATTTGTGTTCCTGTTCTTGATATTGTTCCTGTTCTAATAACTGTTATTTCTTCTCGTTCTGGTTGTAGCTACTGCCACTGCTATTGCCACTGCTACTGCTACGACTGCGACTACTGCTGCTACTACTACTACTACTACTACTACTACTACTACTCCTGCTGCTACTACTACTACTACTACTACTACTACTACTACTAGTTACCAAAGGAGCCCCCAAAATAGTATCGCACTCCGGCCCACAAGCCACCCAGGAAGCCACCGGAGCCTGAGCCCCCTTCAGAAAACCGCGGCTGTCGTTGCATGAAGCCTACTACTACAATATTAATACCATAATAATGCTACATTACAACCATAAAGTACTATACTAATTCTATAATAATATTATACTGATCCAGGACCCGCAGTCACTACCGGGTTTAGGGAACCCTGAACCGAATGTTGAGTCTTGATACCCAGCACCGTAGAAGCCCGCCATAAGGGCCAACAGGATTCCCCAAAACCCTAAGCCACAAACCCAAAGCCCTGAACCCTCAAAAAAACCTTGAAACCCAACCCTGCACTTCACGGGAATGGACGAATGGTAGTAATAGTAGTCATAATTGTACCCCATTCCTCCATTCCCTACTAACCAAGGTGAGTTCAAACATCAAACTGCTTAGCTTGCCCGCTATGATGGCCCCATGGTTCAGCCCGCAGCCTGGGTCGGTGCTGATGATAACCGGGCGCCTGGACATGCACAAGGAGCCACGACAATTTCAGAATTCCGGGTTTGGGGGTTAGGGCTTCAGGCGTTTAGGCCTTCAGGGGTGTGCTGATCACAAGTGGAAAGTGGTCTGGGAGATCCTTGCAGATCACACATGTGAAGAACAAACTCCCTGCATGCAATGCGTGCAGGGGTTGGGGGGTTCGGTGGGAGGATTTAGGGCTTAGGCGGCTTAAGTTTCAAGATTATTGGGCTTTGGCTTTAGGTTTCGGGCTTATGTTTTTGCTTATGTTTTAGGTGCAGGGCCCGGACCAACACTCCCCAACTACGGCGAAGAAAAGTCAAAAGATGAGAACACCGAGGCCCTAAGCCCTAATTTCCCTGAGCAGTAAAGCATTGAACCCCAAAGCGCGAACCTCACGATATCCTGCAAAGCACCAACACATCCCTTCCAAAGCCCAGTAAAACCCAATAAACCTAAGATGCCGTCGCCTCTCCGCCACTGTGGCGCAAAATGTGGCGACCGTTGCCAGCGCGGCGAGTGCTGCGCGGAGCATGGCTTCAGCAGGGATCTGAGAGCGAAGCAATGACAAATCCGACATAGCAGGATTACAAAAGTACGTAGTCAACACCAGTGAGGTTTCAGGGTTTCGGGGTGGCAAGAATTGCAACAGTCAACACCAGAAATCACAGTCGCAGTGTCGGTTTGTACATAGCGAGATAGCTCCGGCAAGCCACTGAATGATCGTGACCAGGAGATAGCACCGGAGTCGACGAGCAAGCAACAACGAACGCAGCTGCTTGCAGCTATACTTGTCAAACGCTAGCTCTGAAGAACAGTATGCCGGACATATCTGCATATCTGTCTACCTATATTGTACCTAGGACTATCTGGTTATAGCCATAACTATAACTACTAGGTATGGTTATCCTTCAAACGAAAACTATAAGCTATACACATATGTGTATATATATATATATATATGTATACATATATATATATATATATATATATGATTGTGTATATATATATATATATACATTCATATATATATATATATATATGTATATATCTGTGTGTGAACATATTCACAGCCACCACAAGAGCAGCCATCCCCAGCCTCGCAGCTCTTTCTGCAATAAAAACATGAACGCTCTCGGAAGCTTGATGATCAGGTGCTCAGCAACTTTGAGTAGGTTTGATGTAAGGATTCTTTATAGGGGGCTCTATGCAGGTTAGTGTAAAGGTTCAGTATAACGGCCGGTGTACTTCGAAAGGAATCTATTTTGGAGCTTGCTAGACTGTACGCATAATGTGGGGGCTATCAGGGGATGCTACTAAATACTATTTCTGCCGACCCCTATATTCATCCCCTGAGCATCACTTCCGGGGCACATCAACGCCCACTGCGAGGGTCCCGTGTCCACTGTACAGACTAAGGGTTCGACCTCAGATGACTTCGGAACGCTAAGGACTTCGGTATTCAACAGAAGTTCAGAAATGCCGTCAATCTGAGGGCATGGAAGAAGGATGCGAACCCAAATCGTAGGACACGGTTGTCGCCGAAGGCCATTCTGCGATCAAAGCAGCAGCGAGCAGCACACAGCCAAGCTCGCTGCTTTTGGAATCTGTCGTGTGTTCGTCAGTATGCAACATACGAAGTTCTAAACTCGAAAAAGGCATTGGATGGTGTAGAGATGTGTAGAGTGTAGAGCTTAGCCAAAACTGAAGCCATCACCGAGTTCGCTTTAATTGTACAAGCCAAGAGTTCGACATCCTTTGGAGGCTTTGGTTCGGACGAAACACAACTAGACCGCTGTCGGCATTTTATGAAAACAAGCTATATAAAGCGAGCGAACATGCAGGTAAAAGAAGTGCAGCGTCGGGTTGTCCACTGTACAGGCCGCGGGGTTCGACATGACATCACGCCCTGATGAAGCATGATGCCATTGCCAACTCGCATCTTCGGACATCCGCTGCTAAGGGAGCAGCAGTGACAAGCACACAGCCCGGCTGGCTGTCTCCGGTGTCTTCCGTTCGTGCGATGCTTACGTCAGCCACAATGCAATACATCCTAGCTCATGCTGTCCTTGGACTGAACCCCCTATACCCCTACCTTCCTGCAGGAAGACGCCTTGCGGCCTCCTCAGGCGCTGCGCCATGCGCTTGACTGCTGAGAGAACATCTTGAGCCTAAGCTGGCCGGCACGAATTGGCAAGACTTCCCACTGAAACTGGTCGTTGTTGATGTAAAGGACCTCGAGCTTCTTGCCCAACTCCTCCATGAGTTCGCAGGTCTTGCTGTAGGTGAAGCAATCCATAGCTGGCCGGCCGGTCTGCTTTTGTCGGATCTTGGCATTGGAGCTAGAGCTCTGAGGGCTCACGAGCAGGAAGATGGCTGAGATGTTGTAGCCCAGCCGCTGGAAGTAGGCCATCGATTCTGCGTCCGTCATAGGACTTGTACCGGTGACCGGCAGCAAGATGTCGAGCCCCTGAGAGCCAGCTCGACTAGCAGCATCCCTCTTCCATGTTCGCATCTCCTCCGCCAAAGTCAGGTGCGATGTGCACGCATCTTTCTCCAGCTCTTGCAAGACTTGATGACCTCCATGGGCTTCGTAGAATAACTCTCCGTCGAGGACCGTATATCTTTCTAGGCCAGCTTGCGCCAGAATCTCCGGGTGCTGGCGCCAGGTGGTGGTCTTTCCAGCACCCTGAGGGCCCACCAGGAAGACGAGCTGCCTGGTCTTGCATGGTCTCCCCTGGCTCCCCCTGCGGCTGCTTCTCATCAAGCCCGCCTTGTCCAGAAACGACGTCGATGTCCAAGACCTGAGCGCAAAAACGGTGGAATGCAACGCAAGCATGCCACTCGTGTGTGTCGTGCGTTACGCCTTGGCTCCGCAGCAGAACTATCTAGCATCTTTCCCTCTCACTTGACAGCAGACTGACCCTAAACCCTAAACCTTTAAACCCCTAAACCCTAAAACACTGAGCATGGGCACGTGGGAACTCCGGCGAGGCCGAAGATTTCGAAGCAGACTCGCGCCGCTTCCGCGGGCACAGCAGACGTGAGCTTCCGCCACAGCCGAGGAACGTCTCCACAGTTCTCCACAAAGAACACCGAGCCTGGCCGCCCTTGTTCCCACAACATAGGGGAGCTGTAGTAGTTACCTATAATATGCTATTTTGGGGTTCCTTATTATTATTGTAGTATAAGGGGCCCCGGCTCCAGAACCTATTCTCATCATTGAGGCCCCTATATCACAGACTGGTGAACAGCGCCTGATGCCATCGTCAGTCTGAAGAAGGCGTGGATCCGCTCTCGGAAGGCTTTGTCGCAGCCTGCGGATTCGGAGGTGCGACCCGTCTCTGCCTCTCGGGCACGCACTCGGCGAAGAGCCACCTCTTGAGAACAGAAGACGGGCAAGAGGTGGAGAATGTAGCCCTGGGCGCGCAGTCTTTCCACGTAGTCCTCTGGACGGACCGTGGCGATCAAAAGACTCCTTTCCTGGCGAATGGCCTTGGACAGGAGCTTTTCCTTGGCTAAGGCTGTTTCTTTCGGTGATAAGCCAGGCTGGGCTTTGCGAACCAGGTCCCCGTCGATCGTTGTCAAATGCTCCCCGAGGAAGCAAAGCTCAGGACAATGAAGCGCCAAAGTCCCGGACTTCAGCTTCTCCATGACCGTGCTCTTGCCCACCCCTGCAGGACCGAAGACCACCAAAGCTTTGCGGACCGGCGCCTCGGCCACGCCATGGCCGCCCCTCTCCGAATCCTCATGACTATCCCCATCCTGACTCTGGCATGAAATCGCCGAGAAGTACTTCTTGCAGTCAAAGCCTGGGTTCGTGTGCGAATTACCACAACAAGGACACCCTATCATAAATCATAAACTACTTTAGATCTCGATCAAGGTATCTTAAACCAACTTCCTTAAATAACCCCTAAACCCTAAAAATCAACTCTAAACCCTAAACCTTAAACCCTGAGCCCTAACCCCTAAGCAAACCCTAAGAACCCAGAAGCCGAGGGGAGTTGGAAACGGTAGGATGTCGGAGACCAGGACCGATGGAGGAAGGAGCTTCAGGTCGGGTCTCTGTTCCTCAGCTTGAAAATGAAGGGGGGTACCTTTAAAGGGCTCTGGTCTAGGGTTTAGGGTATAGGGTTTAGGGCTCTATAAGGGTTCCTTTAAGGGATCTATGAGGGTTCTATAAAGGGTTTAAGGTTTAGAGTTTCCGAAAAAGAGGTTTACCTTATTTGGGGTCCATATAATAAGGATCTTGCGATTTAGGGTACAGTACTATATTGGGGTCCCCTATTTTCGGAAACCCCCACTTCGGAACAAACAGATAAGATCTGCTGCTCCGTGGGGCTCCGGAACTCGATTACGTACGACATGCCCCCGCAAATCCTATCTAATTATGACGTCACCTGTAGTGCAAGTCTCCCTCTGTCCTTCCCTGACTACATATCCCTCCCTTCGTCTCTGGTCTTCATCCTTCCTAGCAGAAGCGTGGAAGGGCGGCAGCAGGGCAGCCCGGGGATCTTCATTCCCCTTCCGACAAGGATGACCACCCGAAAGCCTGCAAACCCCGTAGATTCTGGATCCAGACCCAAAGCCCGCTGCTGCCGCTTCTCCAGGCATCTTTCCTGGAGTCTGCAACTGCCAAGGATCTTCAAAGTAGAGCTGTGGCCCTGCTTTGAAGACGTCGCCGTGGCTCTGCAACCTGGCAGGAAAAGGGGCACAGAGAGGGATGGCGGGTTCTGCGAAGTCTTACCTTTGGTTAGTAGGGAATGGAGGAATGGGGCACCATTATAACTACTATTACTACCATTCTTCCATTCCCTTCTAAGCAACGGTAAGCATTGGGGTCTGCGAGTGTGACACTTGCTTGTTCGGATGTGGTTTGGGTTCAGGGTTTAGGCTTGCTCAGGGGTTAGCACTTAGAGCCTTTTTCTCAAAAGCCCCCAACCTTCGAATGGTCTCTTGCAGAGACATGTGCCGCGACATGCAGGACAAGGTCCAACAGTGTCGCACACCAATCCTTGCATCAAGAACTGCAGAAGAATCTGACTGGCTACTGTTCCCATATCCCCATTGGGGCAAGCAAACCTGCATACGCTCCTTAATCCTAAAACCCAAAGGTCCCCTGATGGGGCCTAATGAGATACTTTAGATCAAGCTTTAAGCTCCTGATAGCACCGAGCCAAGGGTCTGCAAATGAAGGGTCATGAAGTGGCCCCGACGGGCCCCATGACAAGGATTCCGCATAGCTGTGGTCGTGTGGAACTGCAGATCATAGTCGTTCAACTCCTCCTCAGACACGCCGTACACCTAGGCGATTTATGGGAATTTGTGTTGGGGTTCACGGTTCTGGGCTTTAGAACTTTAGAGTTCAAGGTTTAGGGCTTAAGATTTTAAGGGTCCGGGTTGCTATCATGCTGAAGCTACAGTCACGACAGGTCATCAAAACATGAGTCGTTATGCTGCTATGAAGATGTCCTGAATCACTTTAGCCGTAGGCCCTGTCGTTGCCTGTCCTGTCAGACCCTGCTTTCACAACTCCCAAACCAACACTCCAAAACCAAAAGTCTCGCACAGAGCTTAAACCTCGAACGCCTGATATCCCCTGATCCCAGAGCCCAAAGACTAAAGCAGTTTAAACGACTAATCACTAATGCTCTCAACCCTGAACCTCCAAACACAAAGACCCCAAACCCCTTAAAATCCTAGACCCCTGAAGCCCTCACAGATCCTTTCTAGTAACCCATTTTTCCTTGACCTTTTGCGCCGAACCAGAACCACAGGGTTTAGATCAACAAGGCTTATATGAAAGGAACCCAAAATCTTATTTTTGTTAGTGGTTGGCTTTGTTTGTGTTTAAAAGCTTTTTTCTGTATTTAAAAGTGTTTTTTTGTATTTAAAAGTTGTTTTTAATATTTTTTTGTTTTTAAAAGCTTTTAAATGTCTATTTTTCTGGTGTAAAAAATATATTTTTGTGAATTATAAGTTTTTGTTTGTGATTGAGTCAAACGGCTTCCTGTTGTTCTACCTGGTTTCCTGCAGCTGTACGTCTACAAATTTGTTGTTTATTTGCTTTTGAAGTTATTATTTCATCAATATAAATATTTTTGGTTGTGATTGAGTCAAATGATAAATGGCATTCTGCTGTTCAACCTGGCTTCCTGCTGTTCTACGTCTACAAATTTGTTTGTATTTGTTTTCAAAGTAGTTTATCAATTTAAGTTGGGGGTTGTGATCGAGTCTAAAGGTTTAGGGTTTCCTTGACATGCCTTCCCCACATGGATTCGAGCGGTGCAGTGGTGTGTCGTACAGTAGTAGTACAAGTAATAGCACAGTAGTAATGCAGGAGTACAATAGTAGTACCATATTTAGTAGTACAGTAGCAGTGCAATAGTATTACAGAAGTACAGTAGTAAGAGGGTAGTAGTAAAGTGGTAGTACAGTAGGGGTACATTACAAGGGTGTGGGAGTACCTGGAGCTGTTTAGCGGGGTGTGGGCACGACCAAAGTCCAAACCACGATCACTCCAAGATACCAAAGGAAGCACGCATCAACTAGGCACACCGGGCCAGAAGGACCCTCACATTAACCTGTATTAGTGGGGTGATGCTATTAGTCAATTTCAGTATTCGCATGCAGTTGGCATGTTGCTACTTGTTTGTGTTTGCTTGGTGACAGTTTTGTGCAAGTCTGTTGTTGTGCGTCTTGGCTCAAAACTTCTTCACAAGAAAGCGAATCACAACGTCGCCTCCTGCTTGGAAGCAAAACAAGAGAAAACCTGGCTCAGTCTGGTCAAGTTTGTTTCGGTAATGTTTTTTCAAAAAAGGAGAGCCCAAATTTAGGAAAAGGGAAAAGCAATCCACACTGGGGTGATTGAGCCGGGGACTGGCCATCCCCCCCCAGCCCAGCCCAATTCCAAGATGCCGCATCGTCAGCCCCAGCCAGCCCCAGCCGACCCCACCCCCCCCACCCGACCCACCCCCTACTTTCGGGGGACACCCCTTGCGACTTGATGATTTTGGTATGGGGACAGGCACCGGACACCTCTTGCGAGCTGCGAGTTTTTGGACAGCCGTAGGGGGAGCCCTTGCGGCTCATGATTTGGGAACCTATTTTTAATACAACCTGCAGGGAGACACTCTTTGCGATCCGTGATTTTGGGATCCGCGTTTCTTCAAAACCTAATGGGACACCCCTTGCGGGCCCCAGCCCCCAACCCCAGCCCACCACCGCATCTGTTGGCAAAATCTGGCGGAAGTGAGCCGCGACCGAGCAGAAAGCCTGTAAATACCGCGTTAAAACAACGGCCAGGGATCCCACACATCTGCGGGCAAAATCTGGCGGAAGTGATCCGCCACCGAGCAAAAAGCCTGTAAATACCGCATTAAACAAAGGGCCAGGGATTTCGCACATCTGTTGGCAAAATCTGGCGGAAGTGAGTGCTGCTCACTTCCGCCAGATTTTGCCAACAGATGTGTGAAATCCCTGGCCCTTTGTTTAATGCGGTATTTACAGGCTTTTTGCTCGGTGGCGGATCACTTCCGCCAGATTTTGCCCGCAGATGTGTGGGATCCCTGGCCGTTGTTTTAACGCGGTATTTACAGGCTTTCTGCTCGGTCGCGGCTCGCAGGGAAGGCTGGGCGTGGGCTGGGGGACTGGCGGGTGGGGCGGACCCTCCTCTACTTCACTACACCCTCCCCCAACCCCTTTTCTCCCTGCCTTCACCCAGCTCGAACCGCCCCAGCAGGCCGAGCAGCCCCAGCCGCCCCAGCCGCCCCAGCAGCCCCAGCCCCAGCAGCATTTTATCATGAAGCCTTTTCTGGAAGATCGGCCCGGCAAAATCTTAGAAGACATTTGTGGCACTTGTGGCACGCCCCGGAAAAATCTTATTGAATCTTATTAAATCTTATTGAATCTTATTGAATCTTATTAAATCTTATTGAATCTTATTGAATCTTATTGGTTCATCATTTTTAAAAGGGACACGACTCCAGACCGCCCCAAAAAATCTTATTGAATCTTATTGAATCTTAGAAGACATTTGTACAATTGTGGCACGCCCCGGAAAAATCTTATTGAATCTTATTGAATCTTATTGAATCTTATTAAATCTTATTGAATCTTATTGAATCTTATTGAATCTTATTGAATCTTATTGAATCTTATTGCTAAGCCCTGTTGATCCAAGAATCTTATGAATCTTATTGGTGTTGGCTTGTTGATCCAAGCTTTGTGGTTTGGGCTTGTTGCGAATTTATGACTTTTTCCTTGGAAAATCGCAAATATTCGCCACCGTTTCGCGGGGGGCTCCCGCCCCCCGCACCCCCTGGATCGAGGGCTTTCCCCCCTCGAGCTCCCCCCTTCAATCTTATTAAATCTTATTGAATCTTATTAAATCTTATTGAATCTTATTGAATCTTATTGAATCTTATTGAATCTTATTGAATCTTATTGAATCTTATTGCTAAGCCCTGTTGATCCAAGCTTTGTGGTTTGGGCTTGTTGCGAATTTATGACTTTTTCCTTGGAAAATCGCAAATATTCGCCACCGTTTCGCGGGGGGCTCCCGCCCCCCGCACCCCCTGGATCGAGGGCTTTCCCCCCTCGAGCTCCCCCCTTCAATCTTATTAAATCTTATTGAATCTTATTAAATCTTATTGAATCTTATTGAATCTTATTGAATCTTATTGAATCTTATTGAATCTTATTGCTAAGCCCTGTTGATCCAAGCTTTGTGGTTTTGGCTTGTTGCGAATTTATGACTTTTTCCTTGGAAAATCGCAAATATTCGCCACCGTTTCGCGGGGGGCTCCCGCCCCCCGCACCCCCTGGATCGAGGGCTTTCCCCCCTCGAGCTCCCCCCTTCAATCTTATTAAATCTTATTGAATCTTATTAAATCTTATTGAATCTTATTGAATTATTGAATCTTATTGAATCTTATTGAATCTTATTGAGCCCCTGTTGATCCAAGCTTTGTGGTTTTGGCTTGTTGCGAATTTATGACTTTTTCCTTGGAAAATCGCAAATATTCGCCACCGTTTCGCGGGGGGCTCCCGCCCCCCGCACCCCCTGGATCGAGGGCTTTCCCCCCTCGAGCTCCCCCCTTCAATCTTATTAAATCTTATTGAATCTTATTAAATCTTATTGAATCTTATTGAATCTTATTGAATCTTATTGAATCTTATTGCCACCGGGGGAAAGGGGGGGATACCCCCCCTTGAACCCCCCGTGGAAGCATCTTTTCTTGGATAGATAGATCGAGATTCCCTTTGCAGGGAAATCATGTTAAATCTTATCAGTGTTAGAAAGGAAAACAACCCAAATAAAATCTTACTACATCTAACTATAAATCTCATTAAATCTTAATTCGTCTTCAAAAATTTTGAAGTCCCCGCCCTTGCGCCTTATCAGCCCACCTCCCAGGCCAGCCTCGCCCCCGCGCCAAACTCAAAGCCATGACCCTATAAGCACATATAGATACCAGATATGACAGCAAACAGCAAAACCTTTAAAGAGCAAAGACAAAGCACCCACACAAAGCAAAGTGTACAGGGGCGCTCCCTGCTTGAGTCGATGAAACACACTACTGTGCTTGTACTGTGCTACTACTGTACTACCATTGCACCAATGTACTACTATGCTACTGTACTACTGTACTCTGTACTACACGCCACTGTACCGTACCAGGCCTCAAACTTGGTCGATCGTGGGGGTGGTTAGGTTGGAGGCAAAAGTCTTCAACATGAAAGGTGTTTAGTGTTGGTAATTATCTTGGAGTGATCGGGGCTTGGTTCCAAGTTTTTGGTGATCCCCAAGCCCCCCGATTGCGGCGTTCGCGCAGGTTTCAAACCGACCATGCGACCCCCCATTTCCGTTCTAACTTATCCAAAGCCATTCAGACCCTCAGCCAGCCGAACCCCGGTCCAGGGGGTCACGGACACCAGACTATTCAAACCAAAAACCTTTGGTCGAGGGGGGGTGGCTATTAAACGGCCGCCACATTACAGGTAGCAGAGATGCAACAAGAAGCTCGATGATGCACAGGTGAGTACATGTAATAGTCCAGTAGTAATGCATGTAATAGTAGAGTAGTAATGCAGTAGTAGTAAAGTAGTAGCACGGTACGAGGTTTTTAAGTGTACTTGGAGCTGTTCAACGGTTTGGGGGATCACCAAAGGCTGGAAACCAAAAGCCCCGATCACTCCAAGATACTACCAACACTGAAAACCTTTCATTTTGAAGACTTGTGCCTCCAACCTACACTCCCCTCCACAATCGACCACGTCTGAGGCCTGGTACGGTACAGTAGTAGTACAACAGGGTAGAGTAGTACAATAGTAGTACTGTAGTACGACAGTCGTACAGTAGTAGATACAGTGCAGTAAGAGGGTTTAGGGGTACTTGGAGCTGTCTAGCGAGGTTTGGGGACGACCAAAAGTCGAAGCCAAGACACGGTCACTCAACGTGCAAACTTTTCACTCTGAAGACTTTTGCCTCCAACCTACACTCCCCTCCACAATCGACCACGTCTGAGGCCTGGTGCGGTGCAGTGGTGTGTCGTGCAGTAGTAGTACAAGTACCAGCACGGTAGTAGTACAGTAGTACAAAAGTAGTACCGTCGTAGTACAGTAGCGGTGCGATAGTAGTACAGAAGTATACTTGTAAGAGGGTAGTAGTAAAGTGGTAGTACAGTAGTATTAAAGTAGTTGTACAGTAGTGGTACAGTACGAGGGTGTGGGAGTACTTGGAGCTGTTGAGCGGGGGCTTGGGCACGACCAAAAGCCCGAAGCCAAGCCACGATCATTCCAAGATAACTACCAAAACTGAAGCCCATTCATGTTGAAGACTTTGGGACTTTGCCTTTCATCCATTAGCCTTCAACCATATACCATGGCACTCTGCCTTCTAACCCTACACCCTAAAACCCTGAAACTCTAACCCTAACCCTCTCATTACCCTCAAACCCTAATACTATGGCACTCTGCGACCTAACCCCAAACCCCAAAAGACCCTGAAACTTTAAACCCTGTGCCAGATCTTCTTCATCCGCGTCTTCTTGGAAAAAATTTAAAAAAGTCAAAGAATGTTATTTTTGTCTTTAAAAGCTTTAAAAGTTTTTTAAAGTTTTTAAAAGTCTTTTAAAGCTTTTAAAAGTGTTTTAAAGTTTTCAAAAGTCTTTTAACGTTTTTTAAAAGTCTTTTGAAGCTTTTAAAAGTCTTTTAGAGCTTTTAAAAGTCTTTTAAAAGCTTTTAAAAGTTTGTTATAGTTTTTAAACGGCCTTTAAAGTTTTTAAAAGTTTTGTAAAGTTCTTAAAAGTCTTTTAAAGTTTTTAAAAAGTCTTCTAAAGTTTTTAAAGGTCTTTCAAAGTTGTTTTTTGTATTTTAAAGTTTTTAAAAGTCTTTAAAAGCCAACTCTGTCGAAAAAGCCCTGTGGATCTAAACCCTGTGGTTCTGGTTCGGTGCAAAAGGGCAATGAATTTTGCGCCCTTATAGTTAGCCCTGAACAACCCGCCGACCTCGGTCAAATGGTGGAAGATGTCCGCACGGAGCTGGATCAGCTCTGCAAGGTGCTCCGGGCCCAGGTCGCGCCAGGTCATTAGATACTTCACCTGCTTGGAGGTTCATGGGTAGTTACAAGGGTTCCTTTAAGGGTCCCTTCAAAGGATCTAGAGGGATTCTACAAGGGTATAGGTTGTTAGGGCCTACTTGAAGATAATTCTAAGTGGGGTTATAAGTAGGGTATCTATGATTATAGCCCGTATTAGGGGACTAGTAACCCCACTTAGATCAGACCTACCCATGATACTTCACCTGGGTGCTGGAAAGGCAGCTTCCGGGCGTGGGGCTTTTATAGGGCTTTATAGAGGTCTGGGTGTTTGTATATGCTCTTTTGTGGGGTTCTTGCAGAAAGGCTTTCGAGGGGCCTTACTACGAGATTTTCACAGGTGATTTATGCTTTGCAGGGATCTGACGGGATTTCGTCGCGTTCTTAAAGGTCCTGTGGGGCCCTTGGGCAGGACTGATCAAGGGTTGTATTTGCAGAATCTGGGCCTGGGTTTAAAGGCCAAGCCTTGGGATGTAGTTCTGGAATGCTCGCTAGAAGATACCCGACACATAGGTCTGCAAGCCGCAAGCCCCTTGAAGCCATAGTAAAGACAGCATTTTCGCTATCAGCTGGAGTTCATACTATGATTAGCAGCAACAAACTCCTGGCAAATGCACGGAGATAAGTCGCCGCTGAGGTCTGGAAGTTGGAGAGCGGCTGGACCTGTGCTCTTCGCTGAGGGACCACGAGAAGCCCGAAGAGCTGTTGAAGGCGAATAGAATGAGGTTGAAGGTAATGTCTTCAGATAAACGGAAGACCAACAGCGGCGAGACGAGCGGCGACGATCACGACAGGAGAATAACAATAACTTGTTGACAAGACAACACAAACGAGAGCACTCACAGCAATACTATCACCCGGAAGAAGAAACAGCTTGAAATAAAACACACCACTGCCAACAACAGCAAGCTAGAGTACGAGCTATAGATCATCACAGGAACAACGGCAGCATCCCTCCGACAAGCAAACACACAGCTCCAATGCTTGCACTGTGTGTCTTCTTCTGTGACTATGTTATGAACTGTACGTGGTCTCTTTCCCCAGCGTAGCCGCCCCGATCTCGGCCTGCTCCTCCTGCAACTCTTTTTGATTCTGCTAACTCTCCTAATCCTCCACCCGTCGCTGCTGCTACTACCCGCACCACTACCACTACGTTCATTTCTACTACTCCTCCCCGCCATCCTCCTCCTCCTACTGTTGATGCCGCTGCTGCTGCTGCTGCGACCACCACTAGCAAAACTTCTGTCACTTCTGATCTTCGCTATCTTTCTTTCTCACCTCTCAACATCATCTGAACAAAACCCAGATGTACCCATGCATGGCTATCGGAAGAAACGCGATGCCAAACTACAGACAGAAGTTCAGAATACTGTCGTGGAGTATAGTACTGTATACGATAAAGAACCATACCATACTATAGTATCCTCAAATAACATGATTAGTGTATTACAATGGAAAGCCCTAAGGATCCGGCAGCTTGGTAGTCGAAGGTGTGATCTGCTTCTAGCTCGCAAGCAGGGATGTCGTCCGGCTGAAACCATGGGCTGTCCCGCTGCAACTCCGGATGAACCCACCAAGCTATGAGGCGAAAGCCCTGAGGCTGAAATTGGAGATCTTTGGGCGCTCTCGCTGCTTTCACGTAGTCGAAGTAGCTCGGATTGGGTCGTATCATCCATGATCCGCTGCGCCTGACACACACTAGCTTCTGAAGTCGTGCTTCTAGGACCACCACAACCTGAACCTTCAACCATGAACCCAGAGCCCGAAACCCCCACGCCTGACAAACATGGGATTCTGAGTCGCGAGGCGAACCGTCGCGCAATTCCGGCAGCGAAGCTCCGCCCAAAGGAACTTCGGCAGGAAGCCCTGCTGCAGCAGCGCCTCAGGGTTCAAGGTTTTACGCGGTTGGACCGGACCGGGGTTTTAGAAGGGCTTCCAGGGTGGTTCGAGGTTTCAGGGTACTTTACAGGCTTCCAGAAATACATGTGTGTGTGTACATATATATATATATATACATATATATATATATATATATATATATATCTATTTATATATATATATATATATTGATTTATCTATTTATTTTTTTATCTATTTATTTATTTCTTTATTTATTTATTGATAATACATAATTGTACACATGTTGGATTTTTCTTTTGACGATGAATGAGGTAGGGCATGACATAGAGGTCCACAGAACGGGATTGACGCTGTAGAGCAGGTCTTATACGACAAATGCTCTCGCGAACCTCAGAAAGACGCCGTCATAGCAAGATTGGCAGTCTACTCGACGTTAACAATAACTGCTTTGCCACGTCAAGTCGGAGAGCAACACCGAAGTAAGCAAGCGGGCGCAGATAGGAGGGCTAAGCGCGAACGAAGCGACCTAGGAAGCAGAACCTTACTTGCCAGAACGGTTCATGATCACGGCAGTGTTCCCAAAGAGCCCATGGAAGTTGGTGGACCAAGCAGTTCAAGCGAAAATGCTTACTGCCATAACCCTAAACCCTAAATAATCACAAACCCCCAAATCTCTTCTTCTTCAACAACCAGGCCCCCAAAAGTTCAAACCTTCTAAAATAGAGCTAATATACAAGGCCGAAAAGCTTAAAGTTCCCCTGTTCACTGTCTAAGTAAACCCTAACCCTAAATAATCCTAAACCCTACACCCTAAATAATCCTGAACCCTCAACCCTAAACACGCCCACAAGCCCTTCTGAGACCGAGGCTAGTAGGAGAGTTCACCTGAGACCGAGCCTCGTAGGAGTAGGTGTCGGAGTCTTCGATCACCAGGCGTAGTTGTTGGGCCTGAGCCGAACACCCAAGGAAGACCCCCAAAATAGGGGCCTCAATAATTAATACTATGAGCCGAACACCCAAGGAATACCAAACCAAAAAAGGGGCCTTAATAATTAGAGTAGGGTTTCGGGGACCATTATACTATAATTATCGTACGGAACCCCACGATGGTATTGGCAAATATCTAAGCCCCTACGGTCGAACTCTAATTGGTCGGGCTCTTAAACTTAAAGTTGCAGGCCCTTGTTTTGGCTGGTCCTCAAAATCAGGACCCTTCATGTGAAGTTCTTCGTAAGGTCCAGGAAGACCAAACAAATCCACTAAACCCTCAACTAGATTCCAGACTCCTAGACCTCTTCACCAATTTCCTACACGTGGGAAGCTTTATTAACCCCCCCAAATCTGAACACCTGAAGCCCAAAGCGGCTCGAAAACTTGAAACCCAGGAACCCTAAAACTCTAAACTGAAAAAACCCTGCCCATAGGCCCCACAGCAGTTCCTTTTTGTGGGTCATATATAGAATCCTATAAGGTAATCCCACAAAGGATCTACTATGGGCCCTATGGGTAGCTAGCCCTAGCCCTTGGAAGACCTAAAGCCCTGAGGGCCATGACGCTACAGCCTCAGGGTTCATAAGGTTTAGGGTTGTAGCTCAGCGTAAGTTGCCATAGTAGTGAATCGTAGGCTTGCCCTAAACCCTAAACCCTGAACCCTCATGCTTTTGAATTCACGAGTGCGTCCGACGGACTCATGCCACGACGAGAAAAAACCCTAAACCCTATTGCCTATCGAAAACCCATGCACAAACCTGGAAACTTCTCTGATAATCATCAACGCTGAAGTGCCTAAACCCTCAGACCCCCCGAAACGGCTAGACCCTGAACCCTCTATGGAAGTTTCCGAGAACAGGGGATCCGCGTATAGTACCCTAAATAGTAGGATCCTTATTAGAAGGACACCAAAATAAGGTACCCCAATTTTTCGGAAACTCCCATATAAACGAACCTTTTACCCCTTAAACCTCTGAAGGCCAAAGCCCCTCCACCCTGAACCCTAGAAGCCCTTAGAATCATACTCTTCGTGGAATCCTAACATAACGTTTTGACAAATATCACAAGTTTGGGGGGGGGCAGATTATACTAGAGTCATAGCAGGGAACCCTGACAAATCATTTTATCAAGTATTCCGGCCTGTATATTAACACTGCCTAACCCTCAAACTCCTACGCGCTTTTTCGGGCCTCCAGGTGGCGCTCCTCCAATGCTTTCGGCCATTCGAACGCGGCCATCCGATGAGCTTGGGAAAGAAACCTGGGCTTTCTTTCGTAGCTCAGAAACATTGCTCTATGTTAAGCAAGAAGGGAAAGGATGAAATATCCCAAACCGATTCCTAATATACATATATATATATATGTTTGTATTATAAACCTGTCTAGGGTTCCTGAGTCTGGTAAGCTTTGAATTTCTGGGCTCCATTTGGGGTTTAGGCTTCTGATTCTCTTTGCAGGGCCTCTCTCTACCTCGGCCCAGGGTGCGTGAAGCTATGAAGGGTTGGTTTAGGGTTTCGGGGGGTTAGGGTTTAGGGGTTGTTGGTTTAGGGGGTTTCGGTTTGGTGAAGCCACCACCACCACGAAGGTTGGTTTTCTCAGATTCGCAGCGGGAGCTTGGGACCAGGAGGGCCGAGCAGTGCCAGCTTCAAGGGTTTCGGGTTGAATATCGAAGCCTGAATACTTGCTTACACTGTTCCCTGTGGTTCCTTAATTTATATGTATCCTTATATGAATCCTATTATATTGGGGGTTATAGGGCCAGGGTTTCTTAATCAGGTTACTATATTCTGAAGGTTTAAGGTTGACTGCTTTGTCAAGGCTTGGCCAAGGTTTTTGTAGGCTGTGAAGGCGAATGCCCGTCGACGGAGTTGGGCTTAGGGCTTATGTCATTGCTTAGGGTGTACACAGGATGCCCTCTGCGCCAAAAGGAGCCCTTTAAAAGAACCCTTTCATATAAAAAGTCCTATAAAGGAGCCCTCAATGCCTTAACGGAACCCTTAAAGGAGCCCTTAAAGGAACCCTTAAAGGAGCCCTTAAAGGAGCCCCTGAAAGGACTGCACCGAGGCGCATTGGAGATGTCCAGGCCCAGTTTGATCCAGGAAGAAGTCTCCGCATCGGCTTCCAAATTGCTGTGGCCCAGGGACCATAAGGCACCTCCACTACTTCAAGGAATAGTAAGTAGGTTATAATTGGGGTTAGAAGTTCCCTAAGTGGGGCTATCCCTAACCTGCTTATCCCCTTGTTTACTAAGTCCCATGAGCCTTGACGCTGTAAGGGCTACTTTAGGGGTTCCTTTTAAAATCTCCAAACCCCGAAAATGCGGGTGCTTGGGCTTCCGGTCGCGGATTCTCGGGTTTCAATGATTAGGGCTTTTGGTGTTGACCTGCGGCTGTGTAGAGGTGTCTGTACAGCTGCCCCCACTGCAATTTAGACAAGGGATCTTTGAGATCATCAGAAAGGAGTTCGGGTGTGTGGGGGTTAATGGAGCTTTGGGCTGTAGGCCAGCCAGGGGGTCAGGGTTGGCATGGGTCATGGGTGTCTTCTGCAGTGGTTCCGTGACATGAGATGCAGCTGCCCCTGGACCCCAAAATTCTAGACACTTCAGCAGCTTTCTCTTCTATCTCTCCTGCTGCTTCACAGAATGCCGACAGCTTAGGGGTTCAGAGGAGCGCTGGAAGGCAGTGGGAGACAAGCACGGGCCTGGTCTACAGCAGGGTTCCCTAGGGTTTAGGGTCCAGAATTATGAGAGAGGTTTCAGGTTCACTGTGGTGAAAAGTAGTCAACCAGGACGAAGAAAAGGAGATCTTATTACTTTTTTCAGACCTCAATATCATGCTTTCCACCTCATGACCGCTCTGCTGGAAGGCCTTTTCCCTTCTTATCCCAGCCGCGCGTACATCTGCTCCTACATAAATCCGGATTGGCTAAAGTAGTCGGCCTATCGGTGTAGTGGCGTAACTGCCAACAACCAAGTCTAATTGTTCAGGCCCCTATGCAACCGATGCCAGGAACTTACGGAAAGTCTCTGAAGCCCTGGCAAATCCTGCAAACCCCGAAGCGGTTGCAAGGCACAAGCAGAGAGGTGCGAGAAGACGAGCGGAAGCATGAATAGCTGGAAGAGCCACCATGCAGAAGACACCACCGAGGACTTCCTGAAGAGAAAAGCATGTCTGGGGTATTGTCGTTGTGTTCCTTAAAGGAGAAATTAAAAATGAATGTATATAACTTATATGAGGTCCTTTAAGGGTTGGCCCTAGGAACACGAGTCTTGTCCTCATTTTTGCACGTCGAAGGCTTCTACAAGGCAGCACCATGGGGAGACTTCGCTTTGTTCGACCCAAGGCTCGGTAAACTAAAAGGAGGGACCCTTAATAGGGACCCAGCTACCCTATAATGGGCTATGTAATGCGTATATAGTAGCTATGTTAAGGGTATCTGATCAAAGCCGCAAGAAGTGGAATCGGGGTCACTTGAGATTTGGGTACCGTATTCAGAGGCCCTTTATAGAAGGCACTTGCAGTAGTTGTGGTACGCCGATAAAAAAGAGAGCCTTATCCGGAGGTCCACAACATGCGGTGCCGTTTAACTTAAATAACTCAACATAAAAACCTCTAAGACCTTCAACAGACCTTTCCAAAGACCCCAAAACCTTGACAGACCCATAAACGTAGCAATGCCTCGCAAAGTGAAAAGACGTTCCCTAAACCCGAAACCCTCAGCTCTAACGCGAACCCTAGAACCCTAAACTACCTGTGCAGCCATGATGCCGGGGCCCCGAGACCTAATGTCGAGCCAACTTTTGGAGACGCCTAAAAACAAACGCAAGGGTGTTTAGGTTTCCCGTTTCGGGGCAAGCCCAGAAACCCCTAGAGGTTAACCCTGAATGCGGGCCCGGAGGGATTGTAAGTGTTTAGGTGTTTAGAGTGTAAGTTGAGGGTTTACTCTTGCTGCTGCGCCTGTTGCTCTCTAGCTTAGGCAACCCAGTAAGTGCTACCAGCGCGGTTTAGAAGCCGCCGTAAGGCTGTAAGGCTCCTCATCTTTCGTGTTGGGCTTTACCATTCAGCCGTATGCGGGAGACTCCAAAACAACACCCGTAAACCGTGTATTAGCATCCATGTGGACCCAGCGAGAGACCTATTGGAGCACCTGAACCTTACTCCTAACCCTGATCTTGCCCAAGTCTGAGCCTCGTTTCCATTGCTGATGACAATGCGAGTTAAGGTCCAGGATTTCAGGCCGTAGACTGCAGGACTTACTCGAAGTTTACGGTTTCGGGTTTGGGGCGTGAGGGGTGCAAGACTTAGGGTATAGACGGAAGAATATAACCCTGATTTCGCTTCTAAACTTTGGCTCAACCTAAGCCCCCAGAAGTAGGTTCAAGAATGGCTGATTCCAATGGCCCAGCACCTATTTTTCTTTCGTAGTCCAGGCAAGGCTCATGTTGGCTTCCAGCCGCTTGAGTAAGGCATAGGCCCCCCGGACACGGAAGCTGCGCAGCAGAGGAGATAAGCCCATCATCCTGGGGGGTGTCTTCAAGGCTCAGGGGTTCGGCTTTCTAATCCCAGGCTCATACGGGAGTTTCTGAAAATAGGGGACCCTAATATAGCACCTTAAGAAGCAGGACCCTTATTATAAGGAGCCTAAAGAGGGGCCACCCCTACTTTTCGGAAACTCCCTAAAAAAGGGTTCGAGGCTCATGGCCTAGGGCGCCAGGTTTCAGGGTCAAGGTGTTACGGTTCAGGGCTTTTTTGGGGGGTTTTAGGGTTTAAGGTTTAGGGTTTAGGGTTTAGGGGTTTAGGGTTTAGGGGTTTAGGGTTTAGGGTTTAGGGGTTTAGGGGTTCAGGGCTTTTCAGTGCGCTTAGATTGTTGAGCTGGTGGGATCCTTGGAGCTTGACATGTGGGTGGTTGTCAAAATTAGGGTCCCTTCTTGGGAGGTCCCTATTCTAATACGGCACCAATTAGGATAACTATCCATGTTTAGGGTTTAGGGTACAATCTTCTTCGTCGAAGCTTCAGATCCTGGAAGGAGTCATGGAGACTGGAAGCTCATGATGCAGGCCCCTATGCTATAGAACCTAACCCTACTATAGATCCCTTATCGACCCCTTTAAGTGGAACATTATTCTACTACACATGGACCAAGAGGAATGTGGCGAAAGCACGGAAAACACGTCCAACAATGCAGAGGCCTTAATCATGAGAAAAGAGTTTTCGAGTAGCTCCGAATCCCACAGTGGAAAACCTCCAAAATAGACTGGCCAGCCCAGTGGCAACAAGTCCAGAAATTTCTGGGAAAGCTTACACCCTCAAGTGCTGGATGTTTTGGAGATCGCTTCCCAGATGTTCCCATCGGGCGTTTGGTTCGAGCCGAAGTCTTTGTTATGGTATAATTACCTATACTCTTTCGGGGGTTCCTTCTTTTGACTCTAGTATAATACACGCCATGCTTGAACTCAGAACTGTTCGCCGGTGGTTCCACATCCGACTGGAACGGAGGGTGAATGCGTGCTGTTATGCACATATTTAATATGTATACATATATGTGGATGTATATGTATGTATGCATGCATGCATATTTGTATGTATGTATGTATGTATGTATGCAAGCATGTCTATGTATGGATGCATGCACGCGAGCAAGCCCTACCTGTAGCGACTTTTGGCATACACAAATGTGTGTATATCACTCTGTGTGTGTGCACGTACGCATGCATGTATGTGCAAGGATGTGCACTGCAAAGTATCTTCGCCGCTTTACTGGCTCACTTCTGCCCAAGGCACCTGAGCGGCCAGAAGCCGTAAGTATGCGGGTCGATGACCAGGAGCCTGAGATCTGGTCCCGAGTGAAAATGAGCTCTGTAACAACCCTACAAGCATCCTTTTTCTTGCAAGACTTCATGTCAACCCTTGAAACCCTGCAGCATACAGACAAGCTAAGACCCAACGTGAAGAGCTCAATCAAGCAATTTAACAATCCTTGAAAAGGCGTTACAGCGGCAAGACTTCAAGCTATACTCTTTCAGGAAATGCCAAAACGCTTGTTGTGCTAGACTTGAAGTGGAGTTCCCTCCATTCACTAGGGGGTGTGCAAAAGCTTTCAAACCACTTGCCTTTAGACACCAAAGTTTGAAAACTTATCAAGTACAAGCACATAAACACAAACTTTGACAAACAATGCTAAGTTGGGACAACACCTGATAGAACAACACCTTACAGACAAAGGCAAGTGCGCGGCTTGAAGATGCCAAAGTCAAGACGCAAACCCGCAACACACAGACTTTCGAACTATAAAGTCGCCCTTAAAAATCTCTTGAACGATGCTTTACAAGCTTTCGCAGTCTTTAAGGAACTTCAAAAGACTTTTGTAAGCCGAAAAGACGGCGAAGGATTTTGAAACGCGTGCTGAGTCCCAAAAACGACTTGAACATGCTTTAAACTTCTTCAGGGGGGGAACGGGGAGTCGGCCACCGCTTGCCCCTAAAGGTTGAATAAGTGAGACTTTTCCGGTCATCCGATGAGATTTAATGAAATTGTTCCGCTGTCCTGCCGCAGTTCTATAATCATGTCTTCTGAGCTGCAATAAGGCTCGACTTAATAGTAAGATGTTGCGGGTCATGCCACACTTGTAGTCATGTCTTCCAGGTTGCAAGAAAGATTGCTCGGCGGCGGCGCACAGCATGCTTAAACTGCAACCAAGATCTAATCAGGCCTAATGACATGTAAACAGGTTCAATAAGATTGTACCGGGCCCGGTTTGACAAACAAGTCTGCGCAGATGCATGTCTTTTAACCTAAGCAGCAATGAAGTTGTTAAAGCCCTGAGGTTTGAAAAGGCCCGCCGTGGTTCCAGGGGCTTTAGACTCTTCGGCCTTTGCATTTGAGACTAAGGAGTCTCGAGCTGTGATGGGATTGGGATTGGGGTACACCGGTTGGGGCTGTGAACCATTAGCAAGCGAATGATAGACTGCGGGTGGTCAAGACAACGAACTGACTGGCATACAGGCAAGCGGAGACACATAGAGACAATGGAGCGCACAAATTGACTAAATGGAGACGACAAAGAGAGGCACAGAAGACAAATTGAGACGAATGAGAAAAGAACTTGACAAGGGGTGATGAAACAATACTACTTTTTGGAGTTCCTCGTGATACTTAGAGTATGATGGGCCCCCAAACCCTTTTCTAACTGATTCAACAAGACTTGTCGCTTTTTCGAGCCAAAAGCCCGGGAGCCTCTTCGTTTGAGACCTGCGGAGAACCTTCATAAGACTTGAAGATCAGCTCGAAGCATTCTAATATTAGGGCCTTACTAGCTAGAATAGGGTTTTGGGGCCCATTGTACTCTAAGTATAATAAGGAACCACCAAAATTGTATTGGTAGTTATTATAGGCCCTCGATTCGCAACTCTGATCATGGAGAGATGTAGGGTCCTAGAGTTACGGTCCTCAGAACTAGCCAAAAAGCCTTCTTCTGGAAATTCGTGCGGTTCAGTTCCTGCAAACCAGTGGCCTGGTAGAACTTAGATTTCTATTCCTCACAGTTTTAGGGGTTTGGCTTTTCGACCCTATACCCTTACATAACACTGGCAGCTGAGATCTTCGAATCACTATGAGAGAACGGTATTTGTGGTAAGACCCTCAAACTCTTCAGAACCCCCATTGTGGTACCCTCAGTTGCGTGTTACTTTAGAAACCCCACACCCTAAACTATAAACGATCCAAAACCCTAAACCTCAAGCCCGGGAGCACATGCTGGCAAAGCGAGGGCAGGGTGGCTAGCAGGTCCAAGACGAAGCCAGCCCTAATCAGGATTTATGATTTAGGATGGTTTAAACTCAAGAGTTTTAGGGCTTTTGGGGATTATCGAGTTTGGGGGTTTGAGGTTTAAGGTCTCTGGCTTTCTTTCGAGTTGAAGGCTTTAGGGTTTAGAGTGGTTTCGCCTACTGTTTAAGGTTTAGGGTTTACGTAGGGCGCCTCAACAATCAGACTGGGGCTTTCGGTGTACCGCAGGACGATTCAGGAATAGAATTGAGAAGTATTGCATCTGCATTCCGGCTTCGGGCTCTGGAGTCCACGTGAAATAAGGTTGTAAGAGTTTGTCAGGGTTCTGTTCAACAGGATTTGATCAGGTTTTAAACGGGCTTAGGGTCGAGGTTTCTACTTCTAGTGTCTCGGCACCTGTGTGCACTCGCCAGGACCCCAGTATAACCCTGAATTCACATCTCGCCGGGGTGCCGGAGGTAGCGCCTTACGTTGGAGCGGGCACTGCTGTGGAGCACATGCGTGACATCTCGGTAGCCGGTGGTAAAGTTGATCCCCAGATCGATGACCCAAAAGATGTCCACAGCAAGCAAGGCCAACTTCAGCTCCCAGTACCCTTCGGCTCGGTAGTCTTCAGTGGTAATGAAGCCTGCCTGGAAGCACAGGTACCTGGGGGGGCCGTTTTCCTACCGCGGAAAGGAACGTGTCAGTCGTCGTTACATGCAACAAGATGGAACATGTCAGTTAACTCTAAAAAAGAGCTCAAGACCCACAAGCCCAAACCTTTTCAACCCCTAACCCTGGACCCGAAATCTTATAACGTATGCCCGCAAACTCGCAACCCCTAATCCGAAACACTCCGAAATTCCATACATCCTGCAGAAGAGCCGAGATACAGAAGCTGCAACAAGAGCAACGTGCAGGCGAAGATTTCCCAGTACTGTCTCGGCCGACCCCCCGGATCCGCGAAGGGCCAGGACCACTGAGAGAATGGGAACCGTTTGTGCCTTGAGATCTTGTTAAACTGTTAAGAGCTGATATTTTGCTTTCGCCCGGTTATGATGACTCAACTTAAGAACCCTTACAAACTCTGCTAAGAACCTTTATGACTTAAACTCATAACACCCTAAACCTTACCGAACCCTACCCGACATATCCTGGACCCTCAAGCTCCTCAACGCCCTAAGCCCCAAAACCTATAGGGGCCTTAATAATTAGGGCCCATTAAACCATTTGTACCATAAATCTAATAAGGATGCCCCCCCCCCCCCCCCCCCCCCCCCCC